CTGGATTAGAAATTCTGGCCGTCAGTGTCTGGATAAAGCTGCTTATGTTATGATTCCTACCAGCTGAACATACTGTTTTTATAAATGGAATAAATCAGTCACGGTCTTTACATATCATTTTCATTTTAATTAGATTCTTTTTTTAATCATGGAGGAACGTCTTCTCAATCACCCTTCCCCTCACACACCCTGTAGCTTTCTGAGAAATCCTCCTCATTTGTCTTATTAAAACAAAAACCCTCCCATGGACTCAGTTACAGTGACACAACAGTCGATGAGTTGAGATAGAATATACATGAAGACAAGCTCTCATGTTGTCTACACTACCGCAAAGACAGGATGGGGGACAGGCTTATCTGAAACACACCCATGTCATGTTGAGTCTAGCAGCCATTTTATCTCACTTTAGCACATTTGGAAAAGACACTGCTGAGATGGTGTCTATTCACGTCCGTAACGCCGACCTCACATACAGTGTAGTCAACCTGGAGAGCTTATCTCTCCGCTCCTTCATCAGTAGTGCTAATGTCGCCTCGCCTGCCACCTCAGCCGCTGTTAAAAAAGCCATTTGAAGAGATGAATACTTCAGCGCGCTGTAATTCCACTGCTGTTTGTTTGCTCGGCTGTGACTGAGAGGAAGAAGTCAAACAGTGCAGGGTTTTTAATGGCTTTCATTTGGTGCAGCCTGGATAAAGGATTGCTAGTTTGATCTTTATGTTTACTCCACAATATGACTGATTTGCATGATACATTTTAATTTGTTGTAATGAGACAGAATCAGACTGATCTATTCATTTTAACCATTTCTTCCCTCCATGAAATCTGTCTTTGTGTGATGCTGACAAGATGAGCTGCACATTAGTGATCAATAATTGTGAACATGGCTTCAGGACAATGACTCCACAGTGACTCACCATTTGTGAGATGTTGGCCATCAAATCATCTCATGCTACTCTGACTGCAAATCAACATCCACAAGGGGGCACAATGCAATTCAATTACAGATATTAGCTGCCCAATAACTCCCTCAAGAGCTGTATGCAGAGGGATGAAGATGCAGAGGGATGAAGATGCAGAGGGATGAAGATGCAGAGGGATGAAGATGCAGAGAGATGAAGATCCTGATTCGGCTGATGTTGGATGGGTTTGATCAGAGAAGTGACTTATAATCAAATCATTGATTCAAAGATTAATTTTTCCTTCTATAGGTTTACTTACTGAACTTCAGAGGGAGAATCAGAGCCGCTACTATGTCAGTGAAATTTAGAAATAATCTAAAGCACTGTTTAAAATGCATTAAATGAAGCACAAACTGAACTGTTCTGTGCCGAGCCAAATGTAAATGTCCCTGAAATACAATTAACATTTTAATCAGGATGTTAATGTTGAATTACTATTTATCTGTTCAGCACTAAAGCATTGAGGTTACATAAAGGAGATGTTTCACTGCAGCAGTTTAAGGACCATGGGAAAGATATTGGTGAGGGCACTTCATCCTCCATAGTTAACTGGATATCATCCAGGAGCTACAGAGGCTTTAGGCTGCATTAGTTTCCCCCTATTTCTTCCTCAATGGCATCAAAGAGGCTCCAAGTGTTTGTCTGCAGAGACAAGAGGCTCCAACATGGAGGGTTACACACTCATCATCATCAGACAGGCCATTCAACACCATCTTTGTTTACTGCAAAGTCACTGCAGTTCGATGTAGAGTACACTTAATACTATAAGCTTATATTTGTAGCAATGCAGATGTATTTGTCTGCATCTCCCTCATCCTGTATCTTTGCTGCCAAATTATTCTATGGCTTCAAATGGTATCGAGTTTTGTGTCACAATTTTAGTTACTGCTGTGAAGCTAAACCACTTTACAGCCATGAATTCTTCAGATAATTAAATTCAATTTTCTCAACTTGTATAAGGGAAACTTGGTTTTTTAGTTTGTGTGAAAAAATAAACTGAATTGGAAGATTCTTGTTTTTTTACTGGAGGGAGGCATTTTGAAATTGGGTCATCCTGACTTCATATGATCAGACAGCATTCTTTATAATTGAGACAGAGAAAATGAATACATTTTGATTCTAATGAAGCTAAAGGGTTGGGGGACGAACATTTTGATAGAGTTTGAAATGATGTTGACTCTGAATCTGGAACTAATCTTGAGATTAAGTCAAAAATGAATTCATGTATTTGTATTTGCATTTGCATTTTTGCCTTTATAACATAGTTCAGGGATAACAACTCGGTCACCAGGATGTCCCGTACAACATTTGTTTTTGGTATGGAATAAATAATATGACTGTTATTGTAATGAAATATCTAAATCATTTTGTAGACACAAATAAAATAAACAGGAACTGATTCTACATCAGTATCAGCTCTATGTTTGTCGTCTGCTTGGATCTTTAGCCTGCGTCACAGGCAGCCAAAGTACATATTTACAATGCAATGTAGAATATTTGAACAAAAGTGTTATCAGTTCAATGTTTTTAGGTCACACTGATAAGAAATAAAAACAAACCGCTGCTGTGTGTAACTGACACGGATTTTTAAAGTGGCTGAAATGTGGTATAACGACTCTTTGTTTGGGCTGGATTTGCTAAAAAACACAACACGTGCACACACACACACACACACACACACACACATAATCGAAGAGGCAGGCTTCTTGTCACTGTTGCTTAGCAACGGCGAGAGCTACAGAGCCAAATCCCTGTGGTGGCGAGCTGATGTTGAATTAGGCGTAGTGGGGGGAAAGAAAGGAAATCTTTGGGAAAGATGTGTCTGTAGCAGGAGGAGGTGGAGATGTTCAGGTGTTGGTTTCTTATTTTTGGATGTGCTGAATCTCAAACTCCAATGTAATACAATCTGTGTGTGTCACTGCTTTTGCTTCTTTTTGGTTGTTGAGAAGAGGACTTAGATAAAAAAAAAAAGGATTAATAATAATGATTCATTTTGCAGTTACTGAACATCTCTCTTGAAACAGGTGTGAACACAGATATGCCTTGTGTTGTTACATTTGCTGTACTGCATAGCTCATACACAAATAGATTGTTTTCAGCATAATCTCATTCCCCATAATCCTCCTCAAGAATAAATACATTTTAATTTTCGTTATTACTTATTATGAAAGATCTTACATTGTGCAATTAGTCTGGCATTAATCTCTTTTTAAATAAAAATGCACATTCACAGGACTCAGAATTCTGAAGACACTGCGGGTGCATCACTGTAGTGAGTCTGTAACGCTGCAGTTCTCACAGGCGACTGCAGTGGTGCTGCTGCTGTACAAATGCTGTCTCCAGTGTCATTTGCATTTCAACTGCAGTGGAGATGAGAATTCTACTGTGTGTGAGCAGTCACAGCAGAGACGCCACAGTTGCAGCTTTCTTCTTTTCTTTTTTTTACTGCATGCATATTGCTTTTTTATGTGTCCTGGCAAGAACGTTATTTGGCAAGTGAGAGTCTCTGTTTTAGAGCAGCAGAGTGACAGCAGAGTGACACACTGATGGGGGCTGTAAAGCGAGCTGGAGTAAGTCACCCTGGATTAGACCTTCTGCTGAGCTTGTCTCTGGACTATAATCACATAATAACACAGTGATACTAGTCTCTATTACAACTGCTCGATAACATTGTTTTGGGGAGAAGATGCTGAGGTCGACCACTGCAAAAACATTATATCTTTTACATATTTGTGAGTTAAGTTCTTCCCTCAGCTGAAAATGTGTAAAAAACATTCTCTTAAAAGCTTGCATTCGAAATCTTACCTCACTACAACTAAAAAGTATTTGGATTAAAATAAAGTTAACATACCAAAAGTTAGAGTACTCACAACGCAGAAAGGTCCATTTCAGAGTAATCTATGATATTGCATTATAATTGTTGATGTATCAATGTGTGTATATACCATACATAATACTTTATTTGTTCAGTGTGTGTTGTATTATATGTATCTGAATCTGCAGACTACATAATAAATAAAGCTGTAACCTTCAATGAAAAACACTCACAGAGTATTAACTGTGGTGGAGGATATGATTCTCTAACACTGCAGTGAGTACTAATACATGAATCTTTGTATTTTATATACAAAGAAGGCTGAGATGTGGTAACTCCCACCCACTGTAGTATTGTTGTCTTCAACATGTGAACATCTACTGCAGAGGGGGGGCGATCCACACCGACAACTACATTCTTGTCCAGTTGTATGATAGGATCTAAATATTAACAATGATTTGCCATACAGACTCAAAGAACTACTGTGTTATTTAAAAATAACACAAAAGAAATGTATTTATTCCTAGTAATGGTTAAATGGCTGTCCTCATGTTTACTCACCCCCCCTCGCTGCGGCTAAAAGTGGTACGGTCCGCCCCCCTCACTTGACTGGATGGTAAATCCGGCTCCGCTCCTCCAGACTGGCGGCGTGTGTCGACTCCTTAATCCGCCGTGTGAACCGGGATGCTGGGGGGAGATCCGTGAGGCGGTGGGCTCCTGGGCACGGTCCTCTCACCACCGGGAAATGAATGGTGACTACCTCTCGTAAACACCTTCCACTGTTTTCGGCTGTGAACGCGCATGAGAGCGACTCCTCTGCTGAATTTAAACCGTTTTCTGTGAGTCTTGAACGGCGGCAGCAGCAGCAGCAGCGGCGGCAGCGGCGTGAGCAGAACTAACGGCCGCTTGACAGGTGCCGTCGCCCGGCTCTGCGCGGAGAGATGCCGCCCGTCCAGAGAACCGTGTCGGATCTTCGCACCCGGTCTGAAGGTATGAAGATACATTTTGGCTTCGGTGTGTGTGTGTTAGAGAAATGTTCCGAACACCCCCGGTCACCATTTCACGGGTGTTTCCTCGTCAGTGCTAGAGGGCCGACCGGCAGGTCAGTGGAAGTACAGTTAAGTTGCTACTAGCTAAACGCTGTGATTATCAGCGGCTGGAGTTCAAGGAATCCCCCGAGGGCGGAGGCTTGAGAGTTGATCCAACGGTTTGATAACTAGTTTAAAAACAACAACACGAACCAAACACAAAGTGACAGTGAAGTCTGCTGCTGCTGCTGTGTCATATCTGCAGATTAGATCTGAGGGTTTCCCAGACAAAGGCTCCTACCGTAGCTTCTTCAGCCGTGGTAAGGTACGGTGCCCCCCACCCAGCACACCAGGCTCCCGCCTACACAGAGGGACACCCCACCCTCCAACTCTGCTGTGTACTCATCACACCCGTCTCAATGGAATAATGCAAGCTCATGCTTTTAATGGAAGTAGCCACAAGTCTGACAGCTCAGACATTTGTGGTGGAGGAGCTCCACATATTTATTTAGAAATGGGTGTAGAAAAAAACACTGTTACAAGTTAAAGTGTCCCACTGTGGGGACATTTGCCATGTTGGAGCAGGATTATTCTGTTTTTTTTAAGTTTGTGATGTTACAAACACAGAATATGTGCAATGTAGATGCAATATATTCGGTGTCCAACAGTGTTGGACATTTAAAAATGTCCCTTAAGCAAAAACTTTCAATGATCAATTACAGAGCAATATATTGCATTGCAATTATTGATGCATTTATGTGTGTATCACTTAATGTGGCTAAACTTTCCAAAAAAATGCAGACAGGTAACAAGTGCAATATTAGCCTCTGAATTGTTGTCTCACAGAAAAGCACAGCTTCAAAATAATCAAGGTAAAATACGCGTATTACAATGTGAAATGCATGAGTAAATGTTAATTCCATCTCTGACGATAACAAGTCTTCACCAAATGCCATCTCCAGCAGCGTGGGTCTGATAATACATCCATTGTGATTCGGCTGGGACCCTTGCTTCTTCACTGCACCAGTAACTTTCCACTGCATCTCCTGTGATGCCAGAGAAGGAGGATGCGGATACAAACAAATTGCTGAAGTGATTTGAATACTCAAAAGGGGATCTGTTTATTTTACTGCTGCTCGGTAGGATTTCAAGGTGTGTTTGTTTAACCAGGAGAGTACATGCGGCTGCTGGGCATATACAGACACATTACTGGCTGCAGGTGCACAGTCTGCGCTGGGTTATTTTATGACGTCTTTAAATTTGTCCTCACTGTTTTGTGGCTGTCCCTGACCCCTGACATCTCTGGAGAAGGGGAAAGAATTTATCTGCAGGGATCAATGACATCACAATATTTATGATGCCTACTGCAGCTTCTGTTTCTCTGCACAGTAAATTCAGTGGTGCTTTCTCAGTTTGATTTTAGGTAGTTTGAGTTTGATTAATCACTATAGGCCCAGGCTTATATCTCAATCTGACTTATTGCTGTGGACTATATTTTTGTGGTCACTAAGGCAAGCAAGCTGTCCTTTTAAAGTGAATTAGAAAGAACTGTAATTTATAGTTGATATACTTAAAGTCAAGCTGTTCTGTATCTTAAAATATAGGGGTTAAGGGTATATTAAACCTCCAAACCTAAAATGTGATTTTTATCAAAATTACAACACACATGCACCGTGTTCATTTAGATCTACCCCAAGTTATGCAGTAACTTCTCCGCATGAGCCAACTGTTGAGTGTGTGTTCATACAGGAAGTCCTCCAGAGTTGTGTCCTTCATCCAAGTAGCTGGGACTGCAGAGAGAAATACATTTTTAAAGAGACATGCGACTTGATTTAAAAATTCAGTATTTGGGAACATGCTGAACTTTCTGCAGGCTGTTGTGGACGATTTAAAAAATACTAAAATCAATCTCTAATAATCTCAAGATGTGGTGCTCAACTGTTGCAACTACTTGCATATCAGTTTCCATTATTAATGACCATAGTTAACTATATCAGGCCTTGAGAATACTGCAGGGAGTAGATGTCCTTATTTGATATAAAAAATACATTATTTGTCAGAATTGCAATGCAAATGCAAAACCATTTGATTTATTATCTTGGAATATTTGAGATGTATATTACTGTAGATATTTTATACACATATAAAGGTTATATTATAAACCTGTCAGTGTCAGGTCAGCTTTTTACAGAAAACCCAAAAGGTATTTACTTATTATAGAAAGAAAATAAGAGAGTTTGGTAAGATCTTTAGTCAGATGCTGCTGCAGTATTTAAGCAGAATATACTGGCCCAACTATTAGTTGGTCAATTAATCTTAATATTCATACACAATCAATATGAATATATGTTTGAGTCACATTTAGTTTAATGAACCCCAACCTGTCCCATATAGGAGTATTGGTCATACCATACCTTATTATTACACAAGCTCGTCATCTGTATTCCGAGCATGTTGCCTTGATGTCATCATTCCTATTTCTTCTTAATCAATGAAAATCCAGCTGTGCACTTTTTCTGACAGAACCAGTTATGTGGCAATGAGATTGTCTCTCTGATTCATAGCTGCAGGCCAAATGGTTGTGTGTGCGTATGTGTGTGATCAATAAGAAAATGTGCTGAAATTCAGCTTTACCCAAACTTAAATGATGAAATTACAGTAGATGCAAGTGCAGCAGTAAAAACTAATATCTGTGCTATTAAATTGAGTTTTTCCTTACATGAATTCTGTGTTTTGAAGTGTGCTGTCAGCACAGTAGGTCTCATAAACTACATTTCACATCATCTCGTCATTGTACTTGGTGGTAGTTAAGTCTTGGGTTTAAAATAGCACGTAAGCCACATTAATAATGAGTGATCTTTTCATGGCGGTTTTACACTGAGGAACTGTAGATATTACTGGGAGAAATCTAAATAATTGAAAACCAAGATAGATTCCATAGAAAACTGTTGATCAATGTGGCTGCTGCAGTCACAAGAGCAAATACATGAATTATGCAGTAGCTAATGCTGTCAATCCCAACCCCCAACCACACCACCTTTTTAGGTTACAAAGAGCAAACAATACCACTGCTTTTCCACTCTGCTCCATAGCTATCATCCCCCTGCGTCACCAGCTTTTTCTTGTAAGCATCTCTCTGAAGATAGGTTTCCATCACCTCCTGTAATGTGCCTGGTTGCTGCTCCAAATTTCCAGCCTTATGCAGCTTCATATCCATATTTTGATTAATCTGTTCCGCCACATGTCTTTTTGGCTGTTTTGATGAGAACCCAAGGAACCTTCCCACCCTTCAGTTTTATTTTTTAATCACCACAGTGCATCAGGCAGGCGTCCATCTAGAAAGGGCAGCCCTCTGCCAGGCTTACCACCTAATCCATCAGCGGCCTGTCTGTCAGCTCTCCACGCTGCACACTCCCCAGTCTTGTCCCTCCATTCCTTGTCACTCTTCTCGTCTGTTCTGTGGAAACATCTGACATCACTGCCAGCCTGTTCCTACATGTGTTGCCAAAATAATCTTATCTGGGACACTTGGGGAAGGCGACAGGTGACGTCAGCATGTTTAATGTGTGATCCTGCTGTGACAGACAGGCACCGTTTTAGACATTGATCTTTCTGATACAAATTTCCATGATAGACAGGAAGGTGCCTAACACCTGCTTCCACCGCTAGTTGAGAAAGGACAAGAGCCATTCAGGTTAAACTTAGACAGATGGCTACAAGCATCCCGTTTGCAGTCTTAGCTTGCGTGCTTATCCGCAGACAGACCAAATCCCTACTCACAATTGACACTAAAGGTGGAAATAGGCAGGTAAGCCTGTCCTGTGCGGATGAATCTATCCACAGACCCAATGCTTGTCTTTTCCTGTCAGCTAATTTACATGACAGAAGTTGCGCTTGAGATTCCGATTGCCCACATGGTAGTTTTGTAAGACACAAAGTAATCTGCTTCTACTTAAAGCATTATATCTCTGCCATTCATTCATGTTATTGTCAAGATGTTTTTTTTCATGTATAAGTGAAGCAGGATGCTCCCCCACCTAGCATTTCAGTAACACCAGCTAAGCCCCAGTTTGTGTAAATAGTGGTAACAGCATGGGTAGGGAGACCGGAGGGGCATAGACTGCTCCCTTCTGAAGGGATCGAGGGCTGTCCATGTGCCTGGATCATTGGCTGATAATAATGTCGCACAAAAGCCCAACACGCCACTATATCCCCTGTCTGGGGCCACTGGTGTGTAATATCAAGTCCCCTTAGGCCTCTCTTCTCTGTGTGTCGGCATGGGACATCTCCTCTGCTCCAGTTTCCACTTAATGTTCTGCCTCCATCACTAACCTGCAGCCAGTATAATATGTGTTTCTTCAGACACTCAATTTCCCCCACCTCAATGATTCTGCTCTGACTGCAAGGCAAAGTGGATGTGGCAGGTCACTTTGAGGAGGGGGTAGATGTGAAAATGCTCATGTGCATGTGTTCATACAAAAGTTGGTTTCAAAGACACACCAGCTCCTCAGAAAAAGACACTTTTCCAAACAAAAGCTACTGAACAGATTTCCATGACACTTGGTAGGAGGATGGGACATGGGCCAAGAAAGAACTCTTGGATCTTGATGAAAAAAAATCTTTTTTAGGAGATTGATATCTATGAGTGTGTGCAATTTGGTACAGCTTGTCTGATTTAATTCAAGGGGACTAATGGGCCTTGGCGGTGGTATGCGCTCCACAGAGTGCCATTCTAGTTTCTTTTATGTTAATGTCTATGGTATTTGAAGTGGTTTACAAAAATGATGTAAGATTATGAAAACAAACTCCTTGTGTAAGCCTGACAGAAATTCTGTAATGTCATGAATCATGATGAGTCCTTGTATCATCCTTTCTCTGGAATTGATCCTCTGATATGCAGGTCAAGTGGAGTTCCTTACTAGTTTCTCCTCAGATTGAACTTTCTAGTCCCTATACAACAAA